GTGTGTGTTTGTGTTTGTTTGTGTGTGTGTGTGTGAGAGTGTCTGTGTTTGTGTGTCTGTGTGAGTGAGAGTGTGTTTGTGTGTGTGTGTCTGTGTGAGTGTGTGTGTCTGTGTGTCTGTGTGAGTGTGTGTGTGTGTGTTTGTCTGTGTGTGTGAATGTGTGTCTGTGTGAGTGTGTGTGTGTGTGTCTGTGTGTGTGTCAGATGCGTCAGGGGGAGTTCCTGGTGAATTTAACAATTCTGAAAAGATAATTTAGCAAAAATTGTACGGTTTACAAGCGTCTCAAAACGTTCTGTCCCCAAATTCCATAATTAATAAGTAAGACTTTTTGTAATGCAATTTCACAATTTAAGGCATGCTTTTTTTTAAAGACTCGTGGTAGCCCGTTAAGTGATTTTTACTGTTCAGTCATTCAACTAGGAGCCAATTTCATTATATTTACGATACGTCAAAATCATCACTGCTTTTCTGAATATAAATGATTTTTGAGAAAGTTCATAATTTAAGAGCAAAACAATCATTCTAGCTCAATTTTCACACATTTTTAACTTTCACTGCTGAGCTCAGATGCGCCAAACACTTGCCTTGATGCCGTCTTTCCTCTTCTTCAGGATCAAATGCAGGTAGTTCAGGCCACGGCGGTCTGGAGAGTGACGTCTGTGGTACATTACTGACAGCACATTAAACTACGTTAGTATAATAGACATAACATGACTTAACACTAGAATAGCTTAACAAGATATATGTGACCCTGGACCACAAAACCAGTCATAAGTGTCAATCTTTTGAAATAGAGATTTATCCATCTCAATTATCTCAAAGCTGAATAAATAAGCTTTCCATTGATGTATTGTTTGATAGGATAGGACAAAATTTTGGCCGAGATACAACTATTTGAAAATCTGGAATCTGAGGGTGCAAAAAAAATCTAAATATTGAGAAAATCGCCTTTAAAGTTGTCCAAATGAAGTTCTTAGCAATGCATATTACTAATCAGAAATTACGTTTTGATATATTTACAGTAGGACATTTACAAAATATCTTTTATGGAACATGATCTTTACTTAATGTCCTAATGATTTTTGGCATAAAAGAAAAATCAATAATTTTTGTATTTTTGGCTATTGCTACAAATATACCCCAGCGACTTAAGACTGGTTTTGTGCTCCAGGGTCACAAATAAGAACATATATTTGGGGTTTCATAATATTATTTGTGGTATACAGACCGAACCTGAAACAAAGAGCTACTATTAACAATAACTGAATTTAAAAATAAAGAAACAAATAAAATAAAGGTAAGTGCAACTTGTTTAGTGGTTTCTAGCAATTCTGAGTTTATATTTTACAATTGTGAGTTTACATCTCAAAATTATGAGTTTATATCTCGCAATTCTGAATTGTGATAAAAAAAAGTCAGAACTGTGAGATGAAAAGTCGCAAATTAAATTATTTTTTTTTTTCCACCCATGGCAGAAACACGCAGACATAAATAACAGTATAGGACAGGATAAAATGATAATCTTTTTAGGGGCTCAAGCGTGTAGACCTGAAACCCTATTGTAATTGTTCAACTGGCCAAGGATCAGTAATCTCCACCTAAAACTGACCGAACAGACCAAACCGTAAGTCGTAGAGACTTGAAACTTGGAGGGATGGTAGTACTCACACGGTCTACAAGGTCACCAAGTCTCGCCCCAATCGGCCTGACGGGGGCGCTACAGCGATCAAACGTACGAAATCACTCATAACTCCGAAACCATCAGTCGCAGGTTCAAGGGCCTTATGTCGTTGGAATCCTTGGACAAAACGCATTCGAAATGTTTAGATTTTTTTTAAAAATCTACTTTTGCGAACCAAAACCAAACCAGTGCATAAAGATTCTCTGGAAAGTGAATATCAATAATTATAAAAAAAAGTTGAATTTTCGACTCACCGTCGCAAAGGGAGGACAAAACGTTCGAAAGGGGCGGGGCCACTTTTACTAAACCGGCTATAACTTTTGAACGGAATGAGATATTTTCGCCCAACTCGGAACACTTATGTAAGAGCTCAATCTGAAAAAAAAAATCGTGCAGCTTGGCCACTTGGTGGCGCTATAAACACATTAAAACGGCTATAACTACACAACCATTTGTCCAATCAACATGAAAATTGCTATGTAGTGTCTTTGTCCAAAGTGCCACAGGTGTCCATAAGGACATTTGCGTATCCCAAGAAACACGGCGGCCATTGACCAATGAAATTTGAGCACCTGTTAGACAAGGTTAACGGAGGTCAATCGGAGCAAAACTCAGTGGGCCTCTTTGACTCATGGCCCTAAAGGTCTGTGACAAATCTTTAAGAAATCGGCCACTAGGGGGCAATATCGCATTTTTCAAGGGCGTAAACGATTGTATATTGCAGTTTTTTTATTCAGAATCAGAAAGAGCTTTATTGCCAAGTGTGTTTATTTACACACACAAGGCATTCGTCTTGGTGTCAGGAGCTTCCAGTACAGAAAGTACAATGTTTTTTTTGTTTTTTTTCACACATACACACAATATTTATATCATCTGATAGACCTCTTCATTCCGAACAACTCTACAAACCACTGCTGTCAATCAAATCGTTTGTTAAATAATTGAGAAGATATATAAAAAAAAAAACCTTCTTTTGTGAACTAGTCCTAGGTTTTTCACTCAGTCTCGAAAAAACACTGCAGTACAATTCTCTGGACTCTCTAGATCAATAATTATAAAAAAAAATGTTGAACTTTGCCCTTTGGGTAGCTATAACGGGGTCGTTTATAAAATGTCCAAATATACCCAAAACCCTATAAAGCCTAAATGAAACCTCAAAACGTCACGAAACTAGGTGAGCACATGCGACGGGTGATTCTAAACAAGCATGCAAAGTTTCATGAAGATCGGACAACATAAACGTTAAAAAATCCTAATTTTTCTATGGTAAATAACCTGGATTTGCTAAAAAAAAAAAAAGATTTTTTAAATCATTGAATTAGGTGGTAACAGGCTTGCTAAATAATACGTAATGTATTTTTTTCATATATGCTTAAATGCCTTAAAGCGCTTGAACCCAGATAATAAATAGCCTATATATATATATTTTTTTTTTTATTTTTTTTTGTCCTATCACAAAGAATCAATTTGGCAGAAATAGGCTACAGTGCTGTTGGCACATTTGATCCATCATTTTCTAATGTACCTGCAAATGCTGAAAAAGCATATGCTATACATCTAGGGATCTCAAAAGGGACCCAAAACACATGCACACTACAAGATGTGTTTACCTTGGATAAATGATGCTGCTCGACCACCGGAAGCGCGTCACTGCAGGAACCAAACAACCTGCACAACGTTACAGGGACTGTTTAACGTTACTCAAATTACACTGACATATGAAATCTGTCTATATTAATTCTGTACAACCGCAATCATTTCTTGAACTCAACCTCCAAAAAAAAAAAAAAAAAAAAAAAAAAAAAACTGACAAAT